AAGTGAAAAAGCCAAACACAAAAAAGACAAATATCACATGATTCAATTTATATGATGTACCTGAAACAACCAAATTCAATTAAACAGAAAGTACGAGAGCAGTTACCAGCAGCTGGAAGGAGTGAGGAATGCGAAGTTCTTATTAAACATAATTTCAGTTTGGGATAATGAAAAAGTTCCTGTTAGGAGAGTGGTGATAGCTGCACAATGTGACTGTACTTAATGCCACTCCACTATATACCTTAAAATAACAAACTATATTATGTACATTTTATCACAATAAGTTAAACAAAAATTATAGCATTGCATGACAAAACCAAAAAGAGTCAAATAAATCTAAAGCATGGCAAAAAGTCCTAGAGAAAAAGCAAGCATTTATACTCACAACAAATATGAATAATTTGAGGAAGAAATATCAAAGACTGGAGACTCACTGATCTCAGTCGCTGCCTGAACTGGTTCTGCAGCAGAGGGAGTACACTTAACCACCAGGGGTTCTAGGTTGAGGGAAAGTGGCTAAGGTCATAAAACACTGCTGGATGTACAGGCACTCACATGAGAAAAAAATATGACCCCTACCTTATTCCATACAAATTCCACATGGACTGAAGATTTCAATGGGAAGAGTAAATTCAATAAAGCATTTAAAACAGACAAGCATGAGAGAACTTCTCCTCTTGGATTAAACAAAGATTTCTTAATCAGGACACAGAAAGTACTAACTATAATAGAAAAAACTGTGATAAAATGAACCTTGTTAAAATTAAAAATTTCTGTTCACCAGAAGGCATCACTAAGAGTGTGAAAAGGCCCCCACAGAGTGGGAAAAAAATTTTCATATATAATAGAACTCTTACAAATCAATATTAGAAAGATAAGTTCATCTTAAATGGGAAAAAAAAAAACTTGGAAAACACTTAACAAAAAGATTTCCAAATTGCCAAAAAACATATAAAAAAGTTTTCAAATGCATCAGTTATCAAAAAAACACAAATTAAATCTTCTGTATAACAAATACTGTGTCACATTTGTTAGAACGGCTAAAATGGAAAAGGATAGAAAAATAGCAAGCATTAGTAAAGATGGGTTGCAACCATACCTCTCATACAAGGGTATTTCAAAAAGTTCATTGAGGGGCCGCCGCCTGCAACACCAGCACCCGTGAGCGCCAGTTTGAGTCCTGGCTGCTCCACTTCCAATCCAGCTCCCTGGTAACAGCCTGAGGAGGAGCAGAAGCACCCACATGGAAGACTCAGAGGAAGCACCTGGCTCCTGGCTTCAGACAGCACCAACTCCAGCCATTGTGGCCATAAGGGGAGCAGGCCAGGGGATGGAAGATTCTCCCTGTGTCTCTCCCTCTTTCCGTAAACTCTGGCTTTCAAATGAATAAATAAATCTTCAAAAAAAAAAAAAGGTTGGGGGGAGGCTGTGGCATAGTAGGCTAAGCCTCTGTGTGCAGCTCTGGCATCCTATATGGGTGCCAGTTCGAGTCCCAGCTGCTCTTCTTCCAGTCCAACTCTCTTTTATGATCTAGGAAAGCAGTAGAAGATGGCCAAACGCTTGGGCCCCTGCACCCGCCTGGGAAACCCAGAAAAGGCTCCTGGCTTCAGATCAGCCCAGCTCCAGCCATTGCAGTCATCTGGGGAGTGAACCAGTGGATAGAAGACCTTTCTGTCTTTCCTTCTCTGTCTGTAACTCTGACTCTCAAATAAATAAATAAAAGCTGTAAAATAAACAAACAGTTCATGGAAAATAGAATTAAAAGTCATTATGGCGCAAAAACTATTTTGAAATTCATGAGGTTGTCTCATAACATTCATTTTCTATGTACTTTTTTAAGGGACCTCAGACCTTCAAACTGGCAGAAATGCAAACTGGTACAACCACTTTGAAAACTATATAAAAATAATTATTAAAGGGCCTACCTTGTGGTACCACAGGTTAAGCTGCCACCTGCAGTGCTGGCATTCCATATGGTCACCAGTTCAAGTCCTGGCTGCTCCACTTACAATCCAGCTTCCTGCTAAGACACCTAGAAAAGCAGTGGAAGATCGCCCAAGTACTTGGGCCCCTGCTCCCACATGGGAGACCCAGATGGAGTTCTAGGTGCCTGGCTTCAGCCTGGTCCAGCCACAGCCATTGCGCCTATTAGGGAGTGAACCAATGCATGGAAGATCGATTGATCTCTCTCTCTCTGCCTTTCAAATAAATAAATTCATCTTTAAAAAAAGATAAATAAATGCATACCCTCTAAATGAGCAATTCCATTCTTGGGTTTAAATCCAATAGAAATGTTCACACATATTCATTAAAAGATATATTCAAAATATTCATATCCAAAACTTAGAAACTACTTAAGTGACCATGATCAGTAAAGTGGAAAAATAAACTGTACTATAATCATTTGACTACAGCACAGAGAATGAATTATAACCTCACACAATATGTGAAAGTTCACATTGCTGAGTGAAACCAGATGCAAATGAATGCATGCTATAAGATTCCATTAATACAAAATTCAAAACTAAGCAAACAGTTGTTAGAAGTCAAGGCCATGGTTACTCTTAGCAGAGCCCAGAGTACCTGGTAACTCAAAGACGCCGGTAAAATTAATTTTTTAAGTTAATTGATTAAAGGTCAGAGAGACACAAAACAGAGAGAAATATTATTTGCTGGTTTACTGGCCAAATGCCTGCAATAGCTAAGACTGGGCCAGGCTGAAGCCAGGAGCAGGGATCTTCATCTGAGTCTCCCATGTGATTGACAGGGACTCAGGTACCTCAGCCATCACTGGCTGCGTCCTAAGGTACACATTAGCAGGAAGCTGCAAACAGAAGCAGAACCAGACACTCCAAAATAGGACCAAGCCAGACACTCCAAAATAGGACTCAGTTGTCCCAGTGTTGTCTTAACCACTGTGCCAAATGCCTAATTCAAATTCATTTTTTTAATGTAAATTCAAGAGTACATAGGTTAGAGCTGGTGCTGTGGTGCAGCAGGTTACCACCCTGGTCTGAAGCACCGGCATCCCATATGGGTGCCGGTTCCAGACCCAGATGCTGCACTCCAATGCAGTTCTCTGCTATGGCCTGGGAAAGCAGTAGAAGATGGTCCAAGTCCTTGGGTCCCTGCACCTGCGTGGGAGACCTGGAAGAAGCTGTTGGCTCCTGGCTTTGGATCGGGGCAGCTCTGACCATTGCGGCCATCTGGGGAGTGAACCATCGGATGGAAGGCCTCTCTCTCTCTCTTTTCTCCTCTCTCTCTCTCTCTCTCTCTCTCCTATGTAACTCTGACTTTCAAATAAATAAATAAATCTTTAACAGAAAAAAAAAGGGTACATAGGGGGCTGACGCTGTGGCACAGTGGGTAAAGCTGCGACCTGCTGCAGTGCCAGCATCCCCTGTGGGCGCCAGTGCGAGTCCCAAGTTCTCCTTTTCCAATCCAGCTCTCTGCTATGGCCTGGGAAAGCAGCAGAAGATGGCCCAAGTCCTTGGGCCCCTGCACCGGCATGGGAAATCCAGAAGAAACTCCTGGCTTCAGATCAGCCCAGCTCTGGCCGTTGCAGCCAGTTGGGGAGTGAATCAGCAGATAGAAGACCTCTCTCTCTCTCTCTGCCTCGCCTTCTCTCTATGTGTAACTCTGATTTAAAGTAAATAAATAAACTTTTTTTTTTTACAGAGATAGACAGTGAGAGAGAGATAGAAAGGTCTTCCTTCCATTGGTTCTCTCCCCAAAAGGCCACTACGGCTGGCGCTGCGCCAATCCGAAGCCAGGAGCCAGGTGCTTCTTCCCAGTCTCCCATGCGAATGCAGGGGTCCAAGCACTTGGGCCATCCTCCACTGCCTTCCCGGGCCACAGCAGAGAGCTGGCCTGGAAGAGGAGCAACCGGGACTAGAACCGGCGCCCATATGGGATGCCGGCGCCGTGAGCCACGGCGCCGGCTCAATAAATTAATCTTAAAAAAAAAAAAAAAAAAGGAGTACATAAATGTGCTAGGTAAAATGCACCATGCTGTATCGAATCCACTCGCTCAAATTCCACAAGCTCTGATCTACATCTCCAAGGGGAGTCTCAGCAAAGTGATTCTCAATTTCCACCGTCAATAACTGCACAATTTGGGCAATTCTAAACCAGACTTCACCTCGGACCACGAGTGTGAATGAATCCGAGTAGCTAGTGAAAATAGAGGAAGCGCCAGTGTAAAAGTGATGTTTTTACACACTTAGGAAAGCACAAATAAACAAACCCAATATACTGTATTCAGTGCACCATGAAAAGGCCAACATCCAAGCAGACCCTTTAAAGTCAAGTCCGCTTCCTGACGCCGACCAGAAGATGAAACATGGACCCAAAAAAGATGACTTCCTTAAGAAGTTGACTCCAGGGCAAAACGGGCTTTCGCTCGCATCCTCCCATAAATAACCGGTCTTTTCAACCCAAACGCGAAGGTGTCGGGAGCTGGAGGGAGAAGGGCGAATGGAGGCTGGGTGCCGCGAGGGCAGCAGGTGTGAACCGGGCCCCTAACAGCCCAGAGAGAAGGGGAGCCGGCCGGCACCGCGGAGCGCGCGGACAAGGGGCCACACCTGCGCGTACACCTGCCCACCGGGGCCGGCCGGCGAGCGTGGGCACGCGCACCGGCCGGGCCACCGTCCCCAGCCCGACGGTCCGATGCCCCCAGCACGACCGAGAGGAAAGGCCGGGGTGGGTGGCGTGTGCTTGCCGCCGCCAGGGTGGACGCTGCCCCCCGACCCCCGGCCGTGGGGAGGGGAGGGGAGGGGCACGACTAAGCCGCGCGGCTCGCCCACTGCAGCCCCGTGCGTGGGGGCAGGAAGCGGCGCAGGTGGCGGTGGCGAGGCCGCCGCGGGGGCTCCGGAGGGGGCTGGAGGTGGGAGAGGCGGCGGCGGCAGAGCCCGGAGAGGAGGCGGAGGAGGGCGGTGGGGGCAGAGGAGCGGGTCGCAGGGGCGGGGCGGGCCGTCACGGGTGACCCCCGGGACACGCACCGTGGACTCCCGCACTTGGCTGTGGAAGTGCTGCTCCCGCGCCGACACCTCGTCCTGCCCTTCCATCCTCCTTCATGCCCGCAGCCGCGCCGCCCGCGTCCTCGCGCTCCGCCGCACCATCGCCCGCCGCCGGCCGCAGGGTTCGGACGCGGGCACCGGGGGGTTTGGGGGTGGGGGTCTGGGACCCGAGAGGCCCCGAGAGAGCAGCCCAGGGAGAAGGGGACCGCGACGCAGACCGCCGCCTCAGGCTCCGCGGCTCCGGCTGAGGGAGGGCGGGCACCACGGCCGGGGGCGGGGCCGGGGCGGGGCCGGGGCGGGGCCTGGCGCGTCAGACGGAAGGCGCCGGCGCGTCAGAGATGCGCGCCTCGGCGTCAGCGGCACCTGAGGCCGCAGGATCGCCGGCGGGGCGGAGGCGGGGCGAGACCTGGCGACTAGGGGGCGGCATCTGGATCCTGGCCGCGCCACGGAGGACGGAGGCGCGCGGGGGCGGCGGGGGGTGCACGCGAGGATGCTGCTGGATGCGGGGGCGCGGGCTGTCCCCTCACCCCGCGAGGGCGCTGCGGCCTCTCCCCGCCCGGCCCGGCCGGGTCTCGGTCTTCCTGTGGCCGCCAGCATTTAATTATGTATTGCAACTTCCTGGTGCCGCTCCGCCCGTGCTCGGTGGTCGTTGCACTCCGCGCTCAGCCTCGGGGGACCACGACAGAGGGAAGCGGGGTGGGGGTCTCCCGCGGACACTTGCTGCAAGTAGGGGGAGCATCGGAAAGCCGTCGTTTCGGGACGCGCGACGGGCGGAAACCCGGCTTCTCTGGGTCTGATAGGGGCTAGAGCTGCCCCACCTGGGAGACGTAGATAACCTTGAACGGGAGGCCCCTCCCCATCTGTAGGGTAGCTGTTACCGGGGTCGCTTTTATGGCCGTTTGTAGATATTAAACAGCACTGCCAGCTATGCCAAACACCATAATTCACTCCATTTCCACATTACCTGTGTTTTGCTAACAAATTTTGAATTTAAAGGAATATTTATAGTTTTACGTTTGGATTTATTTATTTGTCTATAGGGGAGTTATTTAAATTGCTGTTGGTTGTGATTTTTTTTTTTTTTTTTTTGGCGTCTCAGAATTCTTCAGAAGTGAGGAAATCGACAAATTGCTTTCAAATGTCATTTCGGCTTTTATGAATATAAATTTAACGTTTATAAAGTTGCCATACTGTTCTTCAAAGATAATTAAATGTATATTAATTTAGATTTTGCAGTTTGTCTATGATGAGAACTGTGGTGTGTGAGTGATCTGAGACTTGGGGACCAGGAGTTTTGAATGTGCCCTTGCTGCCATAAGCTGATAATAAAAATACTTTTAAAACCTTCCACCTGGTTAAATTCAATATTTACCTTTTTTTTTAATGTCTCAACACTAACAAACCAGAGAAAGACAAACAGGTATCCCAGGCTGGACACCCACATTCTAGAGCTGGGTTACGTATCTGCCTGAACTGACCTGGATAATTTCTGGGTTAATCTTTCCAAATTAGAAGGAAGCAGATCAGGTTTTAAGGTGTGTGGTATTTAGACACATAATCCAGAAAGTAGATGCATAAAGTATTTGAGATCAACTTAATACCCCAGCCACCTCGGCCTGTCGATTCTCTTAGTCAGTAGTCTATAGGCGTTTATCACCTTCTGCCTGAGTAGTTTTCCTGTCTTTGATACTTGTAACTCTCAACGCAGGGTAGTCGACTTCAAAAATGGAGAGACTCACCACTTCCTGTCAGCTTACCCTCTGCCATCTAGCTTTGCCCTTAATCTCATCAGGAAGTTGTCTATTTCCACACCCCGTGGGCCTGGCTAACAACTTTGGGATCCTTCCAGTGGTCACCATGTAAATACAGGTGAGCCACAGCCATGCTGGAAGTGGGTAGGTAACCCAACCACTTCTGTCACCCCGACTTAACACCCTGTCTCCCACATCCTGGACATAATCCTGTGAGACTGAGTGTAAGGTCTTCGGCTATTACTCTGGGAGAGGGCAGCTGCCACCATGTTCTGTTGACAGCTGTGACATCTGACTTGTTCTGGAACTGGCCCGAAGGTAAGGGTAAAGCAGGGTGACTCACTGCATACACCTCAGAGCCTGGTGACTCAGACCAGGGTGCAGATGATAGAAATGGTCAGTGGTAGTCAGATTCTGGGAGAGCCAACGAGACTTCTTCACATGGTATGTGCCCAGAGAGAGAACAGGAGAGCTCCAAGCCATTCGGCCTCCATTATTAGGACAGAGTTTGCCTCACCTAAGAAGGGAAAGGTTTTGGGTAGACGGAGTTGGGGGAAATGACCCAGAATTCCTGAAATGTGATAACTCCTGGCCACCAAAACATGCTTTATAGAGACACAGTTTCACTTCATTTCAAAAGAGTATGACTGGCAATAAACATTTTAAAAATTGTTGCATCTCATTAATTCAAAGGATGTACAAATTGAAACCTAAATGAAGTTTGTTTTCACATTCCCCAAATGTGGGAATTTTAGTCTGACAATATTGAGTGAAAGAGGAGCAGTGGAAATTCCCCTGGGCTGCTGGTGTGAGTGGGGAGGGATACAATGTCTCTGGAGGAAGATTTGCATTGCTCAGTAAACCTGAAGATGAACAGCCAGCAAGTGCACTGCTACCCGTGTAGCCTAGAGAACCCAGGATGTGTGCACTAGGTTCCATTTATGCAAAACTGTACTATTTCAGGAATATAAACATGTAATGAAACTACAAAGAAAAGCAAGAGAATGATAAAACCCCACCATGGGAGTTGTTACGGATTGAACAGAACTTAGCTCCCCAAACTCACGGAGACATTTCAACCGCAGAGTCTTAATGATTGATGATTGAGGATAGAGACTTGATCTAATTATGGAAACGAGACGGCTAGGTGGGCCCAGTGGGAGGTCTTTAGGTCATTTAAGGTAGATAAGCCAGACATGCTTCCTGTGTGTCTGCCTGCTTCCTGCTCACCGTGTGACCATTCCTCTGCCCTTGCCAGCTTCCGCCAGACACCAGACTGAGCTGTGAGCCATGATAAACCTTTTACTTCCCAAAAAGCTCCTCTCGGGTATTTGAAAGTAACCAAAAGCTACAGGAGGCCAGAGAGGGGATTGGTGAGAAGCATTACAGGGCTACAGAGAATGATGGTGCTTTCTTTCTGAAACTGGTGGAGGGTGGTTCACAACTCTGTGTTGTGTTATTTTTCTTTATATCATACACATTATACATATAATGCATAAACTGTATTTAATATTTAATAAAGCAATTTTTAAGAAGAACCACTGTCTGGTCGTCTAAACAGTGGGTTCTCTGCGTTACGTATCCCCTTGCTACAGGGAGCATCTTAGAATGGAATAAATACTAAAGCAAGGATTCTATAAACGAGGTTCCAGCTCTGCCAAGAATTGGCTGTGTGACTTTCTGAGCCTCAGTTAAAGTGATCATGCCTAAACATTCCAGCAGGAAGGTTCTGTTTCTGGTCTTAAAGTCTATCTGGGCCAGCGCCGCGGCTCACTAGGCTAATCCTCCGCCTTGCGGCGCCGGCATACCGGGTTCTAGTCCCGGTCGGGGCGCCGGATTCTGTCCTGGTTGCCCCTCTTCCAGGCCAGCTCTCTGCTGTGGCCAGGGAGTGCAGTGCACCCCATGGGAGACGAGGAGAAGCACCTGGCTCCTGCCTTCGGATCAGCGTGGCGGACATTGTGGGGTGAACCAGTGGCAAAGGAAGACCTTTCTCTCTGTCTCTCTCTCTCTCACTATCTACTCTGCCTGTCAAAAAAAAAAAAAAAAAAAAAAAAGTCTATCTGGAGACTTTCCGTGCAGATTCACATTTCTCTTGGAGTTGTCCGAGTTAAGGTTATTATTGACTGTCCCACCTAAATCTTCAAGCCAAGTGCTTCCCTGTACCTCAGTGCTACTCTCCAAGTCCAAGTCACCTCATCTTCAAGTGGCCTCTGGGCTGGTCTCCCAGCATCCCCTCTTCCCCACCCCTTCAACGTCTCCTCTCCCCACAAATCAATCCCAAGTAATAAGCACACAAATCAGATGTGCCCCAAACATACATAGCTAACCATCTAACTTAGATGCAAGCACTAATCTCTAACCAGGGACCACCAGGGACCCCAGAACCCATCCCTGCCCACCTCTCCAACCTTATCTCCTTCACACTCCACACTGCCTTTGTACCCACCATGGCCTCTGCCCAGGATGGCACCCATCACAACTGCCTCCCTATCACCTAATTCACAGTGAAAGATTATCCCTTAGGCCATTCGAGACTGAAGCTACAGAGCACCTGAACTCAACCCAATTATGCTCACTTCATCTTGTTTCCTTTTCTTCAAAACAAGTCCACCAAAACTATACATGGGTTTGTTTTCTGTCTTCCAAGTCTAGACATGTCAAGGACTTTATCTCATTTGCTGGTTTTCTAATACCAAACACATTACAGTGCCTAGCACATGATAGGAGCTCAATAAGTCTTCACTGGATAAAATTCAATATATGAATGAGACAGAGATAGGGTAATGAAGACCTAAGTTTTGTGGAATAATGACTATATTCCAGGTTCTTCACATATTTTATTCAACTTAACCATCACAATAATCTTATGAAGCAGTGATGTCCACTCTGTATTATATTGAAGCCATAAGGGCCAATAGAATTGAAGGGGCCGGCGCCGTGGCTCAATAGGCTAATCCTCCGCCTAGCGGCGCCAGCACACCAGGTTCTAGTCCTGGTCGGGGCGCCGGATTCTGTCCCGGTTGCCCCTCTTCCAGGCCAGCTCTCTGCTGTGGCCAGGGAGTGCAGAGGAAGATGGCTCAAGTGCTTGGGCCCTACACCCCATGGGAGACCAGGAGAAGCACCTGGCTCCTGCCTTCGGATCAGCGCAGTGCGCTGGCTGCAGCGCGCCGGCCGCGCCGGCCATTGGAGGGTGAACCAACGGCAAAAGGAAGACTTTTCTCTTTTTCTCTGCCTCTCTCTTTCACTGTCCACTCTGCCTGTCAAAAAAAAAAAAAAAAAAAAAAAAAAAAGAATTGAAGCACCTGGTTTATATAGTCAAGATTTGAACCTAAGGGGCTGG